TTCCTGCATTTATTACTTTATTTCTGGACATAGCGAACCCCATTGTATATATTTATACCCTTCTCCCTGTGGGATTGCCTTTATGAGAACTTACTCTAAAGTGTATTAAATGCATTTTCTTTAGTACCACATTTATGTGGTTGAATATAAATAAGTTATTCTTAGACCCTTGGTTTACAGGGAGCAGACGCTGAACCCTTGGGAACTAGGGCAAGGTTATGAAAAAGTTGAGTTTAATCTCAGCAGTCAGCAGCAGTTTCATTTCCTTATAGCGATAGTGCAGATACAAACGTAATTACTGGTGGCAAACATAGTAATAGCTGAAGTACTGTTTTCCATTACCTTTAATTCCTGCAGGGCTGAGCTCTGCCCATGACAAGGATGGGATATAAATACTTGGAATCTGTAGAGCTGGTTCTCAGTCCCTCATGATGGAGAAAGTGAGCTGCCGGTTACTCAGGGGTACATGAAGAGAGAGGAGCCAGGAGGTCCTTAAGAGGCTTGAAAAACCCCTGTGTGGGTTGTAGATGAATGCTGCACTCTATAAAACAAAGCCTTCACTGGAAATGTTTTACTCACTATTTAGAAGCAACTTCAGTCTGTAGTTGTTGAGCCCTATGTATGCCGCTGGTTGAGGCAGAGGGCCAACGCTAGTCGAACTGATGGATTTTAAAAGTAGTAGAACTGTAAGGTGCAGCTGGTTCAGCCTCTGAGATGAAGACTGTAGGAAGAGCCTTCATCAAGAGCGTAATGCCCTACATAAGTGTGGAGCATGCTCTGATGCTGCTCTGGGATAGCACATAAGCTCTTTGCAGATGGGAGCTGTTGGGGTAGCTCACTAAAATGGCAGCCTTTGGGCACCTCAGTAGGGAGCTCCAAAACATCAGCGTATAAGCCCAGAAGGCTCTTGGGCAATTACTACACCCCAAAAATAGAGCTATCACAAGCTACAGCTTGCCTCTGAACTTTTTGTCATTAGCTCTAATGGTTTGCATGTTGACTTCTTAATTTAACAGCTGATAAGTATAAGGATTCTACCCCTGACGGTGCTAAAAATACTGACAATACAGCAAAAAACGCAGAACCGCTGATTAACTTGGACGGTAAGTGTGCAGCAACCTACTGTATGGATGCATCATACGTGAATGTGTTCCAGTGCCTGTGTGATGTTCTTTGGATTTTAAGTTGTTAGTTACTGATACACATAACCTTTTAAAGCCCCACTTAAAGCTTTAGGAACAAAGGGATCATAAATTCTTTTTACCGATGGCTCAAACTGCCTCTCTGCGAACAGTGTTTTGAGAGTTACTTTGAGTTATTTGCACTTGTCTGCAATCCTACTGAAGGAAAGGGGAACTGCTCCATGTGAATCCCAGGTATCTGGATGTGCACTGAGGCAGAGCTTTTCCTGTTGGGGAAGGGCGGGGGGGGAATCTTCCCCAGCAGAATGAGGTGCCCAGAGACTTAATCAGACATCAGTAAGTTGGAAAGGCTTTTCTCAGGCAATGGGGAAGCACTTGAAAGGTGTTATCTTAACAGCTTTGCAGAGACCTCTGTGAAACATGAGTACTCACTGTGGGTTAGGGTGAAATAATATGATACCTTTTGATTCCAGACTCTAACATATCTTTAAAAAAAAAAAAGCTAAGGAAACTTGATGGCAGACTGTTTACTTCAATAGTGTCATGTATTACCTGTTGGCTTGGTCTTCCCTACCTGTACCTCATAATCATTGTAATTTTTTTAACTGCCAGGCACATTCACTATAAATGAAAGTGGTAGGAAAGAGCTACTAAAATTAGCCCTAAATCTGCCAAGTCTTCTCTCATTGCTCCTTCTACATAAAGACAGCTAGGAATTGGTCTTGCTGTCACCCAGCAGGCACAGTTCTGCTCTGCAGTTATAGAAAGATTTATAAATGAGAACACCTTCATGTCATTGGCTTCATTTTTAAAGACTTAACACAGGTTTCCTGTGCGGTAGGACACATGCAATACATTGGGCATTGAAAACAATGCTGTTTGTGCTTGGATGCTGTTCTGCAACCTGGTTCTGAAGCCTAGTGCATGCTTTAATTGCTTTTTAGCCAAACTAAGTGGTTGCACACTGCTGTGTATCCATGGCCTTGCCCATCCTTGAGAGCAATCCGATACTGTGGAGACAGGAAGCTGATTCTGTCTTTTGGAGCCATATAACTAGCATGTATTTTTAATGATGATGATTATTTTTACAGTGAATAATCCTGATTTCAAGGCTGGAGTGATGGCTTTAGCTAATCTGCTTCAAATTCAGCGACATGATGATTACTTGGTAATGCTTAAGGTGAGTTTCATGGTTTTCAGACCTCCTTTCATCCTTCTTTTCCCCAATGGCTGGTATGTTTGTAATAGCTTATGGTGAACAGTTACTGATAACTGTGATTTTTAGGCACAAATAGAAAGTAAAACTCATCCTGTATGTGCCTTTTCAAGCAGATAAGAACACAAGAATATGAATTATGGAAATTATCGCAGCGATAATTACCTTGGTAAGCAGTTTAATTGTAGCTGAGTTCCTGGAATTCCAACAGTGAGAACTGTTGTTCAGAATTCGAAGTGCTCTAGGTTAGCTGAAGTACTGCTTTATGTGTTTTTGATGAACCTCAGAAATATTGAGGAATACACTCAAAGGAGAAGATTGTATTCCAGTGCTAGAAATTAAGAGACACTTGAAAACATAGAGGCTAAGTGATGCAAAGGATGTTTTAAAACAATCAACCTAGGGAGAAGCCACAGTTACAAGCTACCTCCTCCTAACTTGTGGTCCTATGAACTGTTTACTCCTTGTCATTACTGAAGTCAGTTTAATTTAGTCTTGCCAACTAACCATGGCTGTTAAATGCAGTAAATTGGCTAATTTTCTAAAGCATCTTTTTTATGACTTTGAGCAAATTTGTGACTTAGCGGTGGAACTCTGTAGTTATCTGTAAATTTTGCGTCCAACTTGTACTGTATTTTTGAAGTACTGTATTTAATGAGACTGTAGCAATCCTGAGTTCCTACTTGATCATGTCATAATATGGAAATAAGCTTAGTTTTCTTTGGCACCAAAATAAACTCATTTCACTGAAAAAACAATAAGGTCTGTTCATTACAGTAGCTGTGATATTTGCTAACCTTTTTTTGGAGAAACTAAATGCCGTGGGTGTTGAAGTTTGTATAGTGTGTGTAAGTCTATAACAGGTATACTTAAACAGTATTATCATGCTGGCCTGGTTTCTTAAGGAAATGATGGCCTGCAGTTATCCCATCAACCACTTTCTCTTTACAGTATTGTATCCTCCTTTGCCTTCCCAAAATAGCCTTTGAATTCTTCATCAGTCTTTAAAGAGTGGTAGAGATCTTGTATATCAAACCCCTACCAAAAAAAAAACCCCAAACCCTGAAAAAAAAAAATCATTGTAAAGGGATATCAGAGAGAGAAAAGACCCTGGAAATGGTGAGGTTGAGGATCTGCAGCATGAGCTCAGTCCTTATTAGACAGAGTTTCTTCAGGTCTTCTTACAGGATTGTCCTGAGGCTAGCAAACTTTATTTGGGTTCGTCTAATTTGGTACTAGCAACTCAAAGAGATAGCGGAATGTGTTTTCTGCATAAATGCATTTACAATTCTGTCACTATTTCTACATTTCTAGTCTCACTTTTTTCAGACAGAAGTGATTGGACAAAACCACCAGCCTGAATTTTCTTGCTTTTAATTTATGATGAGAACAGATTCCTGCAATGGCAATTCATGTTACATGAACAGCAGCAATGCTAGATTTCAGGGTTTCATGGTGTTAGAATGTGTCAGTGAAACTCTTAATTCACCACAGTAAGCAGGTTTGCATTGCACGTGCGGAGAAGTTATGATCCCTATTCAGGCTTGGACGCTCTGGAATGGATGCTTAGGGAAGGCCAAAATGCGCAAGTGTGCCACAGACTTCTGGCCAGATCTTGGTCAGAGCGAGCAGAGGGATATTTGGAGTCCCATTCTGTTAATTTATATCTGGCAAGTTGATCAGAAAGCATCTATGTAACACAGTTGGATATCTTTTTTCAGTGCCTTTCGCATTAGAAAAAATTCTCTTAGCCAAGGTCTGGTTTCACTGCTGGAATTTAAACTCCTCATCAAATCACTCTTTTTGTCCAGGTTATTCCATTCAGTTAAGAAGATTTCTAGAAGCATTCAGTGGCAACTTTTTAGTATCATCCCAACTTTAATCATGACCAAAACTGGGAGAAATCTTGGGGGAGAAACATGAAGTAGTAAGACTGCTTCTGTCACATTTGGCTACTCATCAGGGAAAGTCTGAGGAATGTGTTTGACAGACCCAGTTCTTTCTGGTGGAAGTCTGCCTGCATAGTATTCCTTCAGTTATTTTTAGAGGCGCTTACAGCTGTAGGTATCAGTAACTGATAGCTCTGATACGATTTCATGCTATGTGCTGGAGCCAGTAAAAACAGATGAGCAGCAGGATTGTTAAACTCAAGGCTCTTCTTGTTCTGTGTCTAAAAATAATTCCTTTCTGTTCTCAGTCTCTTTAAAACCTGGGTGGGTAGCCTTGCTCCAGGTTTCTCTGCATGTGGAAGATGGTTCAGCACCTACTAAAAGGTGCTGATAGCAGAATTTCCTTCCTGAAGAAGCTGTATTGCCGCAGTGTTAAAGGTGTATGATCTCAGAAAAATAAAAATGGTGCTGCCGCTTTGGGATCACAGTCAGGTCGTTCTGGGAATTGCAAGCTTTCTTGACTGTTCCTGGTACTTGCAGTTTCTGGCCTAGTAGCGGTTGAAATTAATAGTGTAATGTCCTTGTCTCTTCTGGTTAAGCTGCCTTCCTGCAGCGAAAGAGGCTATACCTGTGTAAGATACTACTTGCAAAGAGTAGTGTTGTTTGAAAAGGTTTAAGTCTGAAAGAGTTTTCCATAAAGTCTTTCACAAAACTGGATTTGAGGTTATGCTAGGTTATAATGTTGGCTCCTTTTCCCTTGAAATTGCTGAGGAATGCATCAAGACAGATATTAATTACTCCTGCCTTTAAATGTTTTTCCTAGGCAATTCGCATTTTGGTTCAAGAGCGCTTGACGCAGGACGCCATAGCGAAGGCCAGTCAGTCCAAGGAGGTTTGTATCTACACTGCACGACTCTAGTGTTAATTATGCCACATCAAGTAAGGAAGTGTAGGCGTTGCTTCCACTAGCAACCTGGTCTAGTGGGAGATGTCCCTGCCCATGGCAGGGGGGTGGGCACCAGATGATCTTTAAGGTCCCTTCCAACCCAAACCATTCTGTGATTCTATAAGTGCGTGCCATGTCAGTCAAAACTGGTTCTGTTTAAATACTTTCACTTGGGGGGTTGGTGGAAACTTGCTTTATCTTCGCCATCCTGATTCTAAAAAACCCAGAGGATTGTGGAGAGTATACAAAGCTCTCTTTGTTTCAGTTGAATACAGACATATGTACCTGCATGATATATCACGTAAAGAATCTGTTCTCCTATCCTCGTTATTTGCTTGAGGATTACCCTTACTGTTCAGTGCAGCAGGCCTACAGTATGAGAAGAAATGTTATGACCTGGCTTTTTCTTGGAGCCAGCAGCGCTGGCTGCGTAAGCAGGTTGAAACGCTCCTTGTATGGAGTGTTCTGCTTTGTACGTACACCTCGTATATGTTTAAGGAATGGGATGCTGGACATCCAATTCTTCCCTCCCCACCTTCCTCAAAAAGAGAAATGGGGAAGGAAACTTCTGCGCTTAAAACCTCAGATTTTGCAGAATTACTTTCTAATCGCAAGCTGTCTGTTTGTAAGATGTTGCAGGGGATGACTGTGGTTTTTCAGATTGTCATTTCTTAAACATCCCAGTTCTCCAGCTCTTCCTCTCTGGCACTTGGTGCAGCAGCTGTGGGCTTTGGGTCTTGGGCGCAGCCAGGGAAGGCAGCCTCTCTTGCCCTGCAGGTATACGTTTGGAAGTGTCCCTGCTAAAGGAACAGTATGTGGTCAGAGAGTCTTCATCTTTTCTGGCAGCTGCTCAGAACAGCCCATGCTGTATTTATTATCATAACACTGCTTATGGTGTTTACTCAGTGGCAATCGCAGGTGCTCTCAGTTGCAATGCAGTAATTGCCAGAAGTGTTGGAACAGTAAATCAAAGCTTTGGTGTTGTCTGTCCATAAAACCGTTAAAAGAGCAGGAAAATATGAAAGGAAGCTAAGACTGCTGCGGTCATTTTAGTTTCTATAACTAATGTTAATAAAAAGATGCTTTTAGTTGTTGTTTACATAGCTGCACAGCTGACATGCAGGGGTCAAAATGGGATTTTCTGTGAGTTTGGCAGAACTAGCTGCTTTGAGGAACAGTGAATTTTTTTCATGACAAAAAATTGTTCATATTTGCTAGGTCTTCAAAGCATCATCAGATCTTAGGTTGAAATGTTGCTGTGTCACTGAATGTGATATATGTCTTTGGGAGTGTATTCTTATTAGGAATGCTAAATTTCAAGTGAGGTGAAGAAAAAGCAGGGGGCCAGAGGCAGGAAAACAGCTTTATCTGTGCCAGCAGCAATCAACATTGTAATGTACCACGTGAATGAAGAAAATATCTTAAAAGCAGAAGGGATGGTGGGGTTGCAGGATAGGAGAGGAAAAATAAACCTCTGCTGCTGATTTTTGGCTGGTTTGTTAATGGCCAAAATATTAGCCAGTGACACTTTGTATAATAAGCCTTGTCCCTGGAAGCAGGTTATAAATGTCTGACTGCTGCATGGCAGATGACTTAATATACAAAATGTCATGAGTTGCATTCTTGGCAATATCAAGATAGAGCGGGGAGATACAGAGATGTTCTCTGACTGAAGGATGTCTGTAAGGACTATGCTGGGGACACTTCTACTGCTTGTGCTTGTGGTTTAAATGTACCAAATAAAATGAGATTTATCTTACTGAGTTGTCAAGGTTAGGTTTTCAAGACAAGCCATTACTTTTTTTTTTTAATTAGTTTGAATGGCTGGCAATTCCATGTATTCAGTGTCTAGACAGGATTCAGGTTTATACTGACAGACTCGTAGGCTGTCCTTCTGGGCTTTCCTCGCCTGGTGAGCGTGTCCTGGGTAGGATCAAGTGCAATGAACGCCCTTCAGGATCACTTTAAGGATGCTCCCGAGGGCTGTACCTGGGGCATGTTTGAAAGCACAACAAAGTGGGTATATTTTCCCCCTACTCTGAAATCTGGAAACTTTTTTCCTCTCACTCCCAGGGGATCTAGTTTTACTATCGACATGTCCACTTACAGGGGAGATAGCTCAGTGGTCAGGCCCATTGCAAGTGTTTTGTGCAGCAGTTTTAAATTCAGTTTTTGGGGAACGAGGCTGAGAAATGAAGTAGTCTGTGTGGTAATGGATTTAAAGATCCTTCTCATTTTGTTCCCTGTTTGAAGCTGCTGTGCAAATGAGCTTGTCCTGTTGTAGCTGTAGCAGCAGCGGGTGCCTGTGCAGCCCAGTACCCGCTACGAGACCATGGCTATGGGCTGTGGGGCTTGGGAAAGGCCAGTCTACGGCTCTGGCAAAGACAGCTTTCACCAGAGGGAGCAGGCAGCAGCGTGTACAGCCAGAAGGGAGCTAAAATATGGGGTGGTGGGAGGAGGGCAGGGTAAGTAGCGTCCCGCTACCAGGGTGTCTCGGAAGACCACCTCTGAAGGTGCCACTGTGGTCACTCAGCGTTGGAGATGCCTGCAGTGGCCCTGGGGAATTCATCCACAAAGAACCAACTGAAGCAATGTTTTGCTGCTTGTGTGGCTCTGAGAACACACTTGGGTGGCAATGAGGTCTTTGCAGCCTTAAGTATAAACCTGGTTTCTTAAATAGTATGTGTGTGAAGTCTGATATCGCTAGGATCTGTTTGAAGTGGCATTCTTAACAAGCTGTTCAAATTTTAACAACGCAGATGTATTTTTAAGATTGAACATCCATTTTACTGTAAAGGCCATGGAAAGGAACCACTTCTTGAAAATGGGGTATTAGAGTTAGTTTCGGTCAGCATTTTGTATTTAGTTTGCATTGTTTTGATCAGCTCAGATGTTTGGTTTTTTTTTACATGTATACAAAGGCCTTTAAAAAAATCCTCACTGTTTAGAAGGTTTACAACCCCATGTTGCAGAGACTAATAGTATTGAACTGAAAGTTCAAATTTTGTTGTGCCAAATGGAAATGTTGAAAAATGTTAGAGCAGTAGTAAAAGCAAATTCTAAGATTTGCATTGTTTAAGTCTAATTTTATGTGCATGTTGAAACATGGCAAGTGATTGTTTAGCATGACTGCTCCTCCACAGCTGGAGAGGGTAGAGGAAGGAGAGCAATGCTTATAAATGACCACTAATAAACCTTTCCTTGTACTGTCTTAATAGAGAAAGTATTTAGAAAATTGAATGTTTAGCTTTATTCCTAAGCTTAACACTTGAGAAAATGCTTCTGGGAACGTTGATGGAGGTTGCAAGCTCAGTGCTTGAGAAACTTGCTTGATTACAGAGAATTTTTACCATTCTCTCAAATCAGCCAGTGCTTTGAAAACTGGCAGCTGTTTAAAGCCAGTAGTTTCTAAGAAAGCCTAGTTTGTGCATGCTTTTTGTTTGTCTGGGTAGCGATGTTGCTGGATTGGGTGTTCTCTTGCAGCACTGTTGTTAGCCTTTTAAGGATTGAATGTGGGCAGTGTGTATCCAATGGGGTTTGCTTGACGAGTAGGGGGATTATCAAGCATGAAAATTTTTCTTTATTAATACTCTGGGTTTGATGTTTGAGGACACAAAGGCACTCCTGTGTAATCAAGCATGATGACTTTTCAAAGTTGTCACATGTGTCTATATAGTGTCCTCTGCTCCAGAGTTACCTGCTGTAGTGCTTGATTTTATTTTCCAGAAGTGCAAAATGACATTTCTAATTATATTTGAACATGCTTTTTCTTTTTAAAGGGTTTGCCTGTTGCTTTAGAAAAGCACATTCTTGGCTTTGACACAGGAGGTAAGCGGTTCTCTTAATGTTACTTTTTAAATAGCGATGTTTGCCTTTGTCAAAGTATATTACTGTCAAATATGTAGATAATGTGTACAGTAAAAAAGCCTGTAGTGGAAAGAATTGCTCCCTCCTAGCTTGTTATTTATAAGCACTCCTGAGCATTTTGTTTTGGAACAGAAAAGCATTAAATCTTAGCTGTGGAATAGGTTGTTTCAGAGTAATGTTTAAATAACAGCTTCTAAGGGCAGCCACGTTTGCAAGCGGAAGGAATGCATCTCGTTACTGTTGTCTTGTAAATCTTGCTTCTACCAGCAGAGGACTTCTGTGCTTCTTTGTGTGTTTTAGCTGCATAATTTACCTAAAATCTAATCTAATCAGCATGACCTAATAGATTATTTTGTAAGGAATGGCCAGATGACCTGGGACCCCACTAGTCTACCTTCGCTTTTGCCCCATGTACTAAATTACTTCTCGGAATGCTCCATACTGACCCGACTTGGCTGTGGATTAGTGCCACGGCTGCAGGAAGCTGAGCGAGGTTTTGCAGAGCACCCTGTCCCTCTATAGCACCAAGGAGGGTTGTTTCCTATTTCAAGTAGGAAAACCACAAGCATGGATAAAGTGCAGAGCATTAACTTAGATTAAGCTTTTCTGAAGACCTTCATATCAGGTGAAAATGCTTGATATGACTTCTCTTTCTGCAACTCCCCCAGATGCTGTTCTCAATGAAGCTGCCCAAATTCTCCGACTGCTGCATATAGAGGAGCTCCGAGAGCTGCAAACAAAAATTAACGAAGCGATTGTAGCAGTTCAGGCGATTATTGCTGATCCCAAGACGGACCACAGACTGGGGAAAGTCGGGAGATGAACAGATAAAAGCTTTTAGTCTCTTGTGTACTTAGTATAACTCTGTACAACTCTGGCATGCAGTTTGAAATGGTATTATTTTACTGTTTTGAAAGAAAACAGGAAATTGAATTCTGACTTCTAATGAATTATCACTTTTCTTTAAATAAATGAAGCTGGGGAGAATAGACAAGTTGTTCTGATTAGCTCTGAGTTGGCAAATATGACTTTTTCATTGTGTTTGGCTTTGTGTTGAGAGGGGAGTGCTGCATAAAGGCTCTGCAGATTTCTTTTTTGCTGAGGCCCTGCCATAAGAGCAGCTTGCTCCGGGCTCGCTTGCTTGCTATTTCTCCCCAGTCTACTCTACAACTGAAATATTTAAAAACTAAATCCAAAGGGAAACTTAAAACAACCATTTTATTCAATTATTGAAGTAACCTAGAAAAAGTGAAGCGTTACAAGGTAAATGGTATTTCTGAACATGTATTGGTCTACACTGGGTAGGTCTATGAAGGCACTTAGAAGAACCAACAACCATGAACAGATCAATTCTAGCATATTCTTCTAATATAAATACTAAAAGACATGCATTGAGGCAGTGGTGAAAATACAGAATTGTCTTCTGGAAAAACTTCAATGCCTTTGCCGTATCACGTAATGGTTCTGCACACTTTTGGAGCATACACAGTCTCTGTCTTCAGGGCTGTAGATTACTTAGACCCAGCAAGATACTGCATCCAAAGCTCCCCATAGGCGCTCAATTTTTGGATTAAAAAACCTGTTGGTCATATTGTCAAAACTATTAAAAATTAATCCATTTGTTCTTCCAATAAAATAAAACATTTGGCTAAGAAAGCTACATTTTAAATTTGCTTGCATAAGCAAGAGTGAGCGTAATGGCCTAAGATTCACAGGACCATTTTTTTGGTAATATATCCATGTTTTCCACTTTAAAAAAAAATACAGTAGTAAAGACTTGAGGTATAACTTCAAAAAATACTTCATAATCTTTTGCAGGAGAGTAGGTCGCTTCATTGGCCTTGGTTAAGGGCTTTCCCCTTTTAGGTATATGCAGTGACAGTTTTCTGGGTCTGAAGTTCTTTTGGGTGCAAAGATTGTTGTTTCTTGGAATAGCAGTTCCTATTTCCTTGCTGCAGAGAGAAATGGACATCTTTAGCGTGCCAAGCTTATAACCGCCATCAGACAAGAAAGAGGGGATGGGTGGTGGTGTGTTTTACCTCCAGGGCAGTAGGGGTAAACCACGGTTATTCCATAGAGATGTGATCGCTGCTCTGGAAGATACTCATCGGTAAAGGCGCCGGTTTCTTTATTGATGGCTATTACACCATCCCTGGTGATAAAAGGGGGAGAAGTGCTTTACTCATCTCTGAAACTTGGTTTTTTGTTCCGTCCCCCCTGCATTAAGAACAGAGGCAGCTAAAAAGATTGGTCCAAACACCTCCAGAACAAGTGGAAAGAAATTTGCTCCACACAATCTACATCCAGCTCATTCAGTGCATTTCTCATTGGTGATGCAGAGTCACAGAGACAGCCTTCCAAGGAGAGATTATCTCCCTGAGAGTCTCCTCCAAGCATGGCAAGCACTTAAGTATTTGTTGTAATCTGCTAAGGTTTGATTGAAGTTCTTAGAGCTTCCAGCTGGAGTGGGAATAGAGGCCAGTTCCTGATGCTGAGGGCCTTGGGTGGCTGGGGAGAGGGAACAACTGAGGACACAATCTTTTCTTTGACTTCATCTAGATTCAGAAGCTTGTGCCAAGTTTTATTTAAAAAAAAATAAAAATAAAATAACCAAACCACTATTTCTGTCCCTCCTAGGAAGCTGGAGTTGTTTCTAAACAACTGTTCTGTGCTGAGATTTACAAGTGGGTGTTGTGAACGTGGCACTGCAGGAGACCCAAGAGAGCGTTCCGGTGAGGTGCCAGCACTCGGGACCAGGGAGCGGGCTGGGGCCAGTGTTTGTTTTTCCCCCTCTGGCTCAAAGCCCCTCCAAGCTGCTGGCTAGTGCCATGCCGCAGGGAGTGGCGGAGGCTGACTCCCGGCTGCATAGGGGAGCAGATCCCTAGGAACTGCTCGCTCAGCGCTCCCAGCCGTGGGAGGGAGCGAGTTTTCTTTCCTTACCGTCTCCAGTCCGTGTGGTAGAAGTGATTGGCGTAACTGATGATGCTGAAGGGGTAGTTGAGGTTGTTCTGTATGACATGCCGGCCCGTGCCATCAGGGAATGTGCACTCCAGGTGCTTTGTTCCTTTTCAAACACAAGACAGTTACCAGGGCACACAAAAAAACCACCAAACTCCCAAACGTGTTCTTTGTATTCACTAAATTTTGAAACAGCTTCTCAGCCTAAGGATGTAGAATTAACTCATGTGTGAGCTCCCCATCCCTGACACACCATGTTCTTTGGGTCAGGCCAAGGGAAGCGGGTAGAGAAGCCCACAGGTAGCAATGGGCTAAAGATGGATGCAGCTGATTTATGTTCCCCTTGAGGCTTAGTGTGTCGTAGTCTGATCTGTCCTCGATGAAGTTACCTGCATCTGCCCAACAGAGCAGCTTGGAGAAGGGGTCAAACGTCAGGCCGTTGGGCAAGCCAATGTCCTTATTCACCAGGACCCTCCTGTTGGCTCCGTTGACAGTGGAAGTTTCAATTTTGGGTGCTTCACGATTCCAGTCCGTCCAGTAAAGGTTGCTTGGGAAAGAATTATATAATGAACAAACGGGACAGGCAGCAGTAAGGAGTGGTAGCAGATTATCGCCTTTCTCTTTGTTACTGGTTCTTGTCAAGAGAGGGGCCTGGTTTTCCCCTTAACAGTGCCCAAAATAAATCTTTATTTGATTTGAAAAAAATCTCTAAGAGAAAACCAGAATGATGTCAAACATGTTTACGACCCAAACTGCAGCTCCTAGATGAGGGCGAGTCTTAGGAGTAGCACATTTTGTATCGCAACTGCACCCTAGAGGCACAGCTTGTGTTTTCAAAGGCCAGGCGTGTTTCAAAGCTTTTAAAAATAATGTGCATCCTGACACTGAAACAGCAGGTTTAGCCAAATCCTGAATTATTAAATAAAAGAAGGGGTGGGGAACAGAGCCAATCCCTCCTACGGGGAGTGCAGTGTAGGAGAGCTGCTCCCAGGCTCAGGATGGGGCTGTGGCAGCACCACATGTGTCTGACTGGCACCTTGCAAAGCCCTGCATGCAAATCCCTCCGGAAACACTGCTGCTCACCCTCGGACAGGGTCCACTGCGATGGCCCGGGGGTTGACCAGCTCCGTGTTGAAGAGCACCTGCCGCTCAGAGCCGTCCAGCCGGGCTCTCTCGATCTTATCCAGGCCACTGTCGGTCCAGAACATGGCTCGGCGCAGGGGGTCCCCCGCCAGCCCCTCGGGGCTGATGAGCCCTGCCAGAGGGACAGACACGGTCAGCAGCTGGGGACACACTGCTCCTGGACCTGTCACAGTGCCCTGACCCACCTGACCCACAGCCAAGGGATGAACCCCTAAAGCAGGACAGCCCCAGAGCCACAGAGGGCACAGCCTGGCGTGGACTTGCCGACGTGACTTTGGGCAGATGTCACTGGTGGTGGGAGCACACCTGAGTTGATAACAGTCTCCGGCTCAGCGCCTGGCTCCAGGCTCGCTCGGCTTATGGTCCGGCCGGCCACATCCGTCCAATAGATCGTCTTCTCCCGGCAGTCATAGTCAATCCCCACCACGATGGAGCCCTGCCAGGGTTGGGGAGACACACACAGGGTGAAATCCTGCCTGGGCCACGGCCAGGAGGCTCAGGGAGCATCCTTATCCCCCCAGCTGGCATCAGGAGCCACTCGGGGCACTCTGCAAGATGCAGCAATGGGAAACGATGCTCAAATCCCTTTTCCCTGGCAAAACCCACCACCGATGGGCTCCTACTGCACACCCCCGGCTGAAGCCTGCGGCCGAGGTTTTTAGGCCAGCTGTCGCAGGCACACACCCATGTCCAGATGGGTTTAAAACCCCTTGGCTCAAGGAGAGACTGCTACAACAGCAGAGCCAGCCCGAGGAATGACCTTCAGGATGGGAAAAGGGAATACTTGGCAAGGTGGTTCTGTTCCCCAGCGTGCAGGGAGGGTCGTGGCCCAGCTTTCGGCATTC